AGTACGGGAGGCGTCTCTTAAAGTTTTACGCAGGTGTAAATTCAGTCCTGAATAAATATATCCCAAATATTGATCTCTTTGTTCCTTTTGTCACATGGAACCAAAAACATTGACCCTTTTTTGGGAATTTCAGCAAAACGTTTTGCTGTGACTTCAATATTTTCTTTAGTTGGAAATGTAAAATATGTATTCCTTACAATGTTAAGCGTGTTTTCTTTGGTATTTCCAATAACAGTATGTCTGTGTAAGAATATATTCTGTTGGCCAAGTTTCACATACATGTCTGCAAATGTGCTAAAAACAAACCCAACCTCACAGTTTTTAGAGTTTCTGTAAGATGTTTTATGGACTCTTTAAAAATGTGCATCAACTCTAAAGCTATGAAACTTCTAACCTTAAGTGATGAATTTGATTTGTAAAGTGTTATTTTTCATTTTTTCTCATGAATCCTGTGGATTTGTTACCTCAGCATCTCCAGCATATTACTGCCTGCTACTGTATATTTGTTATTTGTAAAGAAAGTTTTTTTTTAAAGTGTTGTCCCATATGCAACATGTCAGTCAACACCTCCACACAATAATTCAAATGCAATTAGTCCCTGAACAGCTAGCTTAGCTAACATGACCTCCACAGAGTTTACCTTTCTTTGAGCTTGATGTAGTCCATACATGTCGTCATATCTGCTGATCTAGTTAACAAATTCTACCTCACACAGTAATTAGTTGGTCATATTATTGACATTACAGCGCTCCTTAAATCCCTGAACTTCACATTTTAACAAACAAATCAAAGAAGTGCGATGGATGTAATGAGTAACAAAAGCTTTGTAGAAATGTAATGAAGTAGAAAGTACAGATACTTCCTATAAAATATAGTGAAGTGAAAGTCAAACGTATCCACAATTAAATGTACTGAAGTGCATATACATGAAAATTGTACTGTAACAGTACTGCAGTACTGTAGTATCACTGTACTGTAATTGTTCTTTACCGTACTATACAGATCAATTCTCTTCATGGTTTCATTAATGATTGATTTGTGTATTTATTCTTTAAATTTTGTCCCGTTTGGGCCTCCATACTAAAACCCTGGCTGCTCGTCTTTCAGTCAGTCCGCTAGGGGGCGGTGCAGCGCATCAGAACCAGCTGCTAAAGCAGAAGAAGCAGGAACCAAAAGTGGTTGTCACTTCCGCCCAGAAAGCGAAGCTGAGGCTCGGACCCGGTCGGACCAGCGGTTCCGGTTGCGGCACCATGGACGTGGAGGACGAGAGCATCCTGGTGTCCGTGTTCAAGGACAGCTTCCCGGACAGCTGGAGGGACAACCCGGACTTCTCGGCCTACCTGTCCGAGCTCAGCGCCTGCGGCCTGGACAAACTGGGCCGGGAGCCGGAGCGGCTGGCCGAGGAGCGGAACCAGATCCTGCAGCAGACCCGGGAGCTGGCCTTCTCCAACTACCAGACCTTCATCCGAACCGCGGACTGCACCGAGCACATCTACCGGGACTTCGGCCGGGTGGAGGGCAGCGTGTCCCGGCTGCTGGACAAGCTGCCCCGGTTCGGAGAGAGGTGCAGGTCGGTATCGGTCCACTGTTAGTTTAAACCCAGAACCAAGACCGGGTTCTCCCACTAGCTCGGGTTATATAGCAGAAAATAATATTAGCTACCATAACTATGACACACAGCTCTACATTACGATGTCACCAGGTGACCTTTGACCCCATCCAATCACTGCATAAATGCTTAGAACAGATAAATGTGTGGATGTGCCAAAACTTTCTCCAGCTGAACAAAAACAAAACTGAAGTCATTATTTTTGGACCTAAAGAGGAACGATCTAGAGCTATAGATCTAGAGCTATAGATCTATAGCTCTAGATCTAGAGCTATAGATCTAGAGCTCTAGATCTAGAGCTACAGATCTAGAGCTATAGATCTAGAGCTATAGATCTAGAGCTATAGATCTAGAGCTATAGATCTAGAGTCAATGCACAGCTCCAGTTATTACAACTAAAAACTAGCGATCAGCCTGAAACCTGGGAGTAGTGATGGACTCTGACCTGAATCTCCAGAGCCACATAAAGACAGTAACAAAGTCGGCCTTCTATCACCTGAAGAACATCTCCAGGATTAGAGGACTAATGTCTCAGCCAGATCTAGAGAAACTCATTCATGCGTTTATCTTTAGTCACATTGATTATTGTAACAGCGTCTTCACAGGCCTGTCCAACAAATCAATCCTCCAGCTGCAGCTGATCCAGAAGCTGCTGCTCCTGTTCTCACTAAAACCAGGAAGATAGAGACATAACAGCAGTTTTAAAGTCCCTCCACTGGCTCCTTGTAGCTCAAAGAATAGATTTTAAAATACTGTTGTTAGTTTATAAATCACTGAAAGGTTTAGCACCACAATACATTAAAGATCTGCTGTTGTTGTATCAACCTTCCAGACTCTCAGGTTCTGGTTCTGGTTCTGCTCTGCATCCCCAGAACCAGAACCAAGAGAGGAGAAGCAGCTTTCAGCATCTATGCACCAAAACTTTGGAACAAACTTCCAGAAAACTGTAAAACAGCAGAAACCCTGACTTCCTTTAAATCTCAACTAAAAACCAGCTGATTAGAGTTTGATTTGAAATGTAATATGTAACAATGTATTGTTTATTCTATAACTTTGTGTTTATGATGTAAAACACTTTGAAATGCCTTGCTGCTGAAATGTGCTATACTAATAAAATTTGATGTGATTTGATTTGATTTTAATCTGTGGGAGCACAAAGTATGTTGACCAGGTTTACAGAGACAGAACCACTGAATGGTTTCTAACACGTTTTAACTTTTAGTGGTAAATGATCGGATCAGTATGTGTCTGATCGGATCCATCGGGATCCGATCGATGTGTCGGATCGGGACCAGACTGTCATCTATGGAGTTAATGGAGAATCAAATTGACTGGCATCTGAGACGTCCAGACTAGGAACCTTCCAGACTAGGAACCTTCCAGACTGACCGCTGTTTCCTCAGGACCTTCATGACGGAAGCGGAGCAGATCGCTGTCAGCCGGCGGATGAACAGCCTGACTCTGAACCGGCACACGGAGATCCTGGAGATCCTGGAGATCCCGCAGCTGATGGACACCTGCGTCCGCAACGGCTACTACGAGGAAGCGCTGGAGCTGGCTGCCTACGTCCGCCGGCTGGAGAGGAAGCACGCCGCGCTACCTGTGATCCAGGTGAGCATGGATGGCGGGCCTGCGTCCCCGTCACTGATGGACGAGTGTCCTCCAGCAGGTCTGATGTTGCGGTGTCTTCTGCAGGACATCGTGCGGGACGTGCGGCAGGCGGCGCAGCTGATGCTCAACCAGTTGCTGCAGCAGCTGCGCTCCAACGCCCAGCTCCCCGTGTGCCTGCGCGTGATTGGCTACCTGGGCGGATGGACGTGTTCACGGAGGCGGAGCTCCGGGTGAAGTTCCTGCAGGCGCGCGGCGGCTGGCTGAGCTCCGTGCTGGACGCCGTCCCCGACGACGATCCTTACGTTCACATCACCAAGACGGTGGAGGCGTGTCGGGTCCACCTGTTCGACATCATCACGCAGTATCGCGCCATCTTCTCTGACGACGACCCGCTGGCGGGCCCCCCGGATCCCCAAGGCACCCAGGGGGAGGCGGCCATCTTCCACGGCTGGGTGGCGCAGAAGGTGGCGGAGTTCCTGGTGACGCTGCAGAGGGACCTGCTGCGCGGCGTGGGCCCCCGACTGGACTCGCTGCTGGGCCAGTGCATGTACTTCGGCCTGTCTTTCAGCAGAGTGGGGGCCGACTTCCGCGGCCAGCTGGCGCCGCTATTCCAGCAGGTGGCGCTGGAGGCCTTCCAGGCGGCGCTACAAGAGGCGGTGGACCGCTTCCAGGAGGACATGAACCGCTACACTCTGGTGGCCCTGCCAGTGGCGCTGGGGGGCGCACTGGCCCCTGCGGCCCCCGGTGTACAGCCTGGTACCCTGCAGCCCCCCGCCGCCCTGCTGGACTTCCCGCCGCTGGCCTGTTTCCTCAACCACGTCCTGAGCGCCTTCAACGACCTGCGGCTCTGCTGCCCCCTGGGGGCGGCCCAGGACGTCAGCCGAAGCTTGGAAGACGCCCTGAGGACGGTGAGTTGGACTGGAGCCACGCCTCCTTCTCACGCAATAAGCCACGCCCCTCCCAAAATCAGGATTAGATTTGAAATATTACATCAAATAAATGATCAAAGTTCTTTCATCTTTTTGGATGCCATATTTCCACATTAACTTTAAAAGGCATTTGTTGATGCTGTGGGTTAGCTTTGGTTCTGGTCCTGGTTCTGACCCGACTCCTCCTGCAGGTGACCCGTGTCGTTGTGGCGTTCCACCGGGCCGAGCAGTCGGCCTTCAGCAGCAGAGAGGAGGATTTGTTCGTCCAGTTCTGTTCATCATTCGCTGACGACCTTTTGCCCTTCCTTAGCCGCTGCCTGCAGGTTCTGTTCCCTCCGGCCCAGTTGGCGCTGGTTCTGGGTGAGTAAGTGGCCCGCCGCGTCACACCTGGAGGAAATGCAGTGGGTTCTGATCGCGGCGTCTCTCTCTCTCTAGGTGTTCCTGTGTCTCAGCTGCACAAGTACGGCGATCTGGGCCGCATCGACGTCTCTGCCATCCTGCAGCCGCTGGACTTCATTCTCCCTCAGAAGGAACCAGAACCAGAACCGCTGCTACTGGAGGCCGACATCCCAGCCGAGCAGGGCTCGCTCACTCAGCCGGAACCAGAACGGGAACCTTCTCAGCCGGGCCGCACAGAGACTCCAGCAGAACTGGAGGCTGATGCAGAGTGACGGGCCAGAACCAGAACCTCGGCAGGGTTCTGATGGACTTGCAGAATCATTGTGGGTGACGGGATCTTGAAGTACAGCTGTGAGAACCGAACTTTCCTCTGTTCATTAAAACCTCAGTTGTATGTCTTGCTGTGTTTTTCAAACTCTGCCACCTGGTGGCCAAACAGCAGAACTACACAGAAGCGTTCAAACTAAATTTAATAGCAATAATAAAGAAGCATTTATTTATGCAGGAGGTTCTGAGCCAAGAAATGAAACGGGTTCTGGAAAAGTCCTACAAGATGTTCAGAGTTTTGAAAACATGAGTGAGAAATTCTTTTTCATGATCTGAAACCAAAGTCCAGAGCCGGGCTGGACCCGGTTCCATCACTTCTTCTTATGGAACTTCCTGTGGGCGGCGTTGGGGTTGACCCGCCTGCGGCCGGCGCCACTCTGCCCGTCGCGGATCTGCAGGTTAGCGGCGCGGCTGTAGACGTCGTTCTGGCAGAACGGCGACACTCCGGCCACGTAGTCCGGGTCGAACACGTCCGTCTTCTGCCGGGCCTTCCTGGAGAGCCGCTGCTGCGGGAAGCGCTGGTCCTCCACCAGGGGGGGTTGGCGGCGTGCTTCCCACCGCGAGGCAGCGGCAGCGAGTACTGCGGACGGGACGCACAATCAGAGTCAGCACGCTGCTTCCTGTCTGAGGAAAGTTCTACCAGCCACACCTGGACCTCCAGAACCACTGGTTTGAATCAGCTGGCAGAACTGTGGCTACTGGTCTAGACGGCTCTGTGGTTCTGGTTCAACTGGACTCCTAATTTAACCTTTAACCCTTCCATCCAGCAGGAACGTTGTCTGGCAGCCTTGGGCCCCAAACCGGTTCTGACAACAGCAGAACCTGCAGGTGGAGTTTGACCCACCTGAAGGTTATACAGGGGTTAAAGGTCAAAGCGTCTCACCCTGGTTCCTCGGGGGTTCATGATCTTGGGGTTTTTGGAGAAGTGCATCTGGATGCTGCCATCGTCACCAACGGTAACCGCCAGCTTCTTCAGGGTCTGGTTGCCGCAGTGAGGGCAGAACACTTTGCTCATGTTGCTGGTCGTCCTGCAAACCAAACCGGAAACCAAACCGGGTCAGCCGAGCCTGTGGGCCGCAACGCACCAGGCGGTTCTGCGACGGCTTACCTGAAGCAGGCGTGGCACCGCAGGATGTAGCTGCGGGCACGGCGGATCACCAGACCGCCGACGGACAGAACATGGAGGCCCATCTGGATCAGAACGTTCTGGAGAGAGAGACAGGTTAGAGGCCGGACCGAGCAGAACCAATCCAGCAGAACCGACAGAGTCACCTGCATGGCGAAGTCGGTGGTCAGGCACCCCACTCTGACGTCAGCCGCCTCCGTCCAATCAGACGACTCCATCTTCACCTGCCTGATGTTGCTGGGAGTGATCCAGCCATCATCATCATCATCATCATTGTCGTCCTGTGATTGGTCCTCTGCCAGCCCAGGCTCCGCCCTCTTCTCCTCCACCTGAGACGAGGCGCCACTCACATCCTGTAAACTAACAGTTCAGCGGCTGCCTCGCGGCGGAATCGGGCCCAGCAGGACCGGGTCGCCAATGAAGACTCACCAGGAGGGCCAGCAGGTCCTGGTCCACGCTGGGAACCGGGTCTCTCCAGAACCGGAAGCTGCTGAAGTCTTCGTCTGTCCCTGAAGACACTGGGATGTCTGGCTGCTGGACCGCATCGGTCAGATCCTGACGGAACAGAACCAGAACCGTTTAGCACCATAGGGCCACCGGATCTGCCTTCAGAACCACCACCCACCAGCAGGTCCAGCAGGTCTCCCTCCAGGCTCGGTAGCGGCTGCCTCCAGAACTGGAAGCTGTTGAACTGGTCCGGGTCCATCTGAGTGGATGGTTCCGACCCAGTGTGTCTGGCATTTGTGGCGTTCACAGTCCTCTGAAGAGACAGGAAGAAAACTCAGATTTCCAGAACCTGAACCAGAACCGGCTTTGGTCCATACCCTGGAGGGAAAGTGAAAGCCCGCGATGTGGACCGGAGCCTCTGGGTGGCGCTGTGTGCTCTGGATGGTCACCTGGAACAGAGGAACGGTCAGAGATCTGGGCGGGTTCTGCCGATTGTAAGGGGACCTGGGCTGGTACCTTCAGGTCCGGTTCCGCCTTGAGGTTCTGCGACCCGACGTGCTCCAGCTGCAGCTGGTATGTCAGCGCAAGAACCTTGATGTCGGTGGCAGACAGGCTGGAGTAGTCGCCTGTCTTCTTGGAGAACTCGATCACTGAAACCGGGTCAGAACTTCACCAAACCAGAACTCTGAAACTTCACTTGGGTTCTATTAGTGACAGTTTGACCAGTCTTGACAGGTTCTGCTTTAGATAACAGAGTTTCTAGGACGTTCAGTATAATTCTCACAAGAAAAGTATATGACTGAAAGACCGAACCCCACCAAGTTCAAGTCCAAGTTGGTAATAAGGGAATTAACGTAATTCAGGCTTTGCGTGAATTATGGCACTTTTGCCACGAACCAGGACCGCCATTTGATTACATGTTAGCAACTCGCTAACTGGTTTTCAAAGAGGTTTCAAGTGGGAACACCTGCTAGCTCAATTTAAATGTGGCAATAGCGTTTGACCGATACCTGCGGTAGGATATATTCACTAGCGGGGCTGTTAGCTCCCGGCACTAGCGGAGTTAACAACTTCACTGACTCAGAGGGTTCAGATACAGACGCGGGTCTTCCTCCGTTGCTTTTTGTCACACAATGAACCAGCACTTTGGATTTCTTTTGTATCCTATCGCTAATTACGGAAACACGCTCACAGCACACTTATTGCTGCCACAAACTAATCTTGGTTTTATTATTAGAAAACAGCCACAAACGGAAATATAACTTGAATAGAGGTTAGCAAAAAAAAAAAAAAAACCCTACAAATTACTGTGAAATACTACTACTTCCGGTGGTGACCGGAAGTAAGACCCATCTGTGTTTCCACAGCTAGTCTCCAGGCCGGGGGTGGATAGCGGCATGTAAAACATAAATGACAAAAATTTGAAAATGAGTAATTAGTTCGAGGGTCCACCATGTTTACAGTTGGTTTTAAGGTCCGGTTCGGACGTTTTGGGTCGGGTAGCAGTTCGGGTACGTACCGGTTCTGATGTGCTCCGGGTTCGGCTCTCTTAAGGTCAGCTGGTACGGCAGGACGGCCAGACTCCTCCGTGTGGTTCTGTCCCGAATCTCGTCCACAACCTCCCGCAGGGTGTAAATGTTCTGGCCAAACTCCTGCAGCGGAAACAAGCACGTCATCAGGTCTTACGTCACAGTTAAAGCCACTCAAGTTGCCGTGGTAACACGGCTTGATCTCAGAGCAAATGGTACCAGAACCCATCCCGCTATGACGAAGCGGGACGGGTTCTGATATCGCTATGACGAAGATCCTAACACTGTTGGTCCGGGACCAGAACCAGCTTCAGGCTACAGACGTCAGAATCGGTCCGCTCAGCAGCGTCTGCTCCGCGGCCGGAGCTTCACCACCAGCGGCCCACTGACTACCTGTCCTCTCCTGACAGACTTACCTGCAGCGGGGCTTGTTTTAAAAACGCTCCAGCGTCCGCGACAACATGCTCTACCAGGGTCGGCGCCATCTTGGCCAGCAGATGCAGCGGCAGATGCAGCGGCCAATCAGAGGCGAGGAAACAGCCATCTGACGCCTGAGTGCTTTAAATACATCACGAGTGTCGGAATTTTGATTACTTTGTTACTTTTTACCTTGTTGAGCTGATCTGAAAGGTGTTCAGGTGGAAAAAATAGGAAATGTATGTTCCTTTAAAGCGGATTTTGTCACTGTTCTGTCCTGAACGAACTATTCTATCAAAATTTCATTTACCTTTAAAACTATAAATGCGTATATAAAAAATAAAATAATGTAATTAAATGATGAAAACTCGAAGTTAAAACCATAAGTAGTAGGGTTAACAACGAGCTGGATGGTTTAATAATTTGTCATCAAGATCTACGGAACCTGCTGTGACCCAGTTATTTAATGTTCTGAATCTGAGGAACCCGCCGCCATTGAACATATCACCGCAGGGCCTGAAGGTCACGTGGCGTTGTGTTGACAGTGAGACGGGGAGGAAAGATGGCGGCGCGGTGGAGCAGCGAGACTGTGGTGGTGGAGTTTCGGGACGCTCAGGTGTGTGACTCTTTGAGCCGACCCAGATGTTTCTGACCGGAAGCTGCTGAGAACAGTTCAACTGGCGAACCGAACGCAAATCCGGATTAATCGGGTTCCGCAACAGTCCGAACTGAGCCGCAGTATCTGCAGTAGTTTATCTGAATGGTTCCGATCACGTGGTTTCCTGTGCAGGATATGTGTGGCAACTTTCAGCCAATGTTGAGTCACGTGACAACAGACGGCTGTCATCACAGCAACCATTTCCAGCCTCCAGGATGTGGTTGCTACAGTAACCATGGTGTCCAGGGTCATTAGTTTTTGAAGAAAAGCAGATTTGACCACATGTTCACAGGTTGCAGCTGCAAGCAAGACGGCATATCTGCAAGCGGGGCGGCCATGTTGGATTGCAGGTCAGGGCCGTTGGGAGCTGACCTCTGACCTGTGGTCTGTACTGTGTTCCAGGCCACAGCCATGTCCGTGGACTGCCTGGGCTCCCACGCCGTGCTGTCAGGGTAAGCTCCGGTTGCCGGTCCATTCCTGTAGATCGGGTTCTGACTCCTTCCTTAAATCATTTGTCTGCATTTCATCATATTTTAAATTTTGTATAGAAAGAGATTCAACGGTCAAATAAAAGAAATTACCTGATCAATCATGAATAACCGATTTGTACCTGGCTATGCAGTAAATCAAAGCTCTGGTTCTGGTACTGGAGGTGTTCATAGCAGGACAGGAAGGTGGGTTCTGGTCCAGCGCAGACGGCTCCTACAGCTCTGACATTGGAACCAGCCAAACTGGTTCTGAATCAGTTCTAAACCAGCCTGTTGGATCCTGTCTGAGAGACAGAACCAGCAGAACCAATGGAACCAGCAGAACCAATGGAACCAGCAGAACCAATGGAACCAGCAGAACCAATGGAACCAGCAGAACCAATGGAACCAGCAGAACCAATGGAACCAGCAGAACCAATGGAACCAGTGATATGATCTTTGTCTCTTTTAAAAGATCATGTTCAATGTCTGACAGCATCACCAGCTGCTGTCCCCGTCTGTCTCTCTGACCCGTCTGTCTCTCTGACCCGTCTGTCTCTGACCCGTCTGTCTCTCTGACACATCTGTCTCTGTGTCCCCGTCCAGCCGGCACTCCCTCTACCTGGTGAACCTGGACGCTCCGACCGAGCCGTCCCGTAAGATGGGCCGCCACAGTAAGTGGGACGTGGGGACGGTCCAGTGGAACCCGCATCGGTCCCAGGCTCATGTCTTTGCTGCCTCGGTGAGTTCTGCTGTGGTCCGGTCTGGTCCGAACAGGCTTCTATCGGAGGCTTAGAGCCATTACTGACCGATGAACGAATCCCCGGACGTTTATGGTTTCACCCATTTCATGAAGTCGCATCCAGGCATGATGCTGCCACCACCATGTTGGAGCAGAGTGACGGTGGGGTCCAGGTCCTGAATGTCCCTCCTGTGTTTCCAGAGCAACCAGCGAGTGGACCTGTACTCCTGGAGGGACGGTTGTGGAGAGACTCACACATCCCTGCAGGGACACACCCGGGTCATCAGGTGACAGACACAAAGCAAGCACACTTGTCCACAGGTGGGGACAGGTGAGACTCACTGTGATTATCCTGGCAGCGACCTGGACTGGTCCTGGTTCGACTCAGAGCTGCTGGTGTCCAGCTCAGTGGACACCTACATCTACATCTGGGACACCAGGTAGGAGGAAAACCAGACCAGAACCGGTCTCAGAAGACACTGGACCTGTTGTCCTCATGTCTCTATCTGGCTCCACAGGGACACTCGGAAACCCACGGTGGCGCTGTCTGCTGTCGGTGAGTCCTCCACCTAAAACCTTCCCAAGTTCCCTGAACCCACTGCTGACTGCCGTCCCTGTCCCACCGTCTTTGTCCCTCCGTCCCTGTCCCACTGTCCTTGTCCCTCCGTCCCTGTCCCACCGTCCTTGTCCCGCCGTCCCACCAGCTGGAGCTGCTCAGGTGAAGTGGAACCGGAAGAACCCACACCTGCTGGCGTCCAGTCATGACGGAGACGTCCGCATCTGGGACAAGAGGGTGAGATGTCCTGCGGGTTCTGGGACGGGTCTGGCAGCTCGACGACCTCTGACCTGTCCTCCCGTCTGAACAGAAACCCAACACGGCGGTGGAGTACCTGGCTGCTCACCTGTCCAAGATCCACGGCCTGGACTGGCACAGAGACAACGAGTTCGTCTTCGCCACATCCAGCCAGGACAACTCCGTCAGGGTGAGGACGGCGTCCTAAACGTCTTGTCAGGACGGCATCCTGACAAGACGTCCTTCCTCTTCTGTCTGCAGTTCTGGGACTACCGGCAGCCCAGGAAGTACCTGAGCGTCCTGTCCTGCCAGGTGCCAGTGTGGAAGGCCCGCTACACGGTGAGACACACTCGTCTCTGTCCCTGTCTGTGTCCCCGTCCCTCTGTCTCACCCTGTCCCCGTCTGTCCCAGCCGTTCTCCAGTGGTCTCGTCACCGTCATGGTCCCTCAGCTGCGGCGGGAGAACAGTCTCCTGCTGTGGAGCGTTCTGGACCTCAACAGTCCCGTCCACGCCTTCGTTGGACACGATGACGTCGTCCTGGAGTTCCAGTGGCGTCCCCAGAAGGAAGGTGAGCGTCCGCCGTCCGCCGCCCCCTCAGATGGCCAAGTGCGGACAGTCAATGTCTCCTGTCCCCCAGGGTCCAGGGACTTCCAGCTGGTGACCTGGTCCGGGACCAGACGCTGCGGATCTGGAGGGTGGAGCTTCAACTGCAGAAGGTCTGTGGGCGGCCAATCGGAGCCGGGCGAGGGGCCGCTGCGCTCTGATTGGACGCTCCTTGTCTCCCGCTGCAGCTGTGCGTCGGCGACCTGGTGGACGAGCTGATGGAGGACGTGTCCATTGCCGTGGAAACGGAGAGGTCCCTGGGCGCCCAGCAGGCGGATGTCCCGCCGGGTACAAACAGAACCCGACTCCTCCAGAACCTTCGGCTGACGTGGCCTTTGACCTTTCCTCTAGGACAGTCCAGATCCGGAGCAGAACCTAGAGGTCTGGTTCTGGTTCCGGTCCAGTTGCTGGTCCTGATAACAAACCACCAACTGGACCAGAACCAGAGCAGACTGCGCAAAGTGTTTGAGAACCACAGCAGCGGAAAATGTTAGACGTTCCGGTTCCAGTAGAACCGGGTCGACCCGACCAGCAGGAGGGAACATCCAGATAAATGCTCCTCCGTTATGTGGCCGACCCGGCCCGCATCGTCTGAGCCGACCCGAGTTTGAAAGCTGAATGTTCAGTGCAGATTGACACCCATAAGTCAAAGGTCAGAGGCAGAACATCAAGGTTTAGTCGAGCCTGACGCCTGACCTCTTGTCCCAGGTCAGGCGGCGAGCCGTTCGGACCCGGCCGTCGGTTCTGGTCTGGCCCAGACTCTGCAGCAGGAGTTCTCCCTGGTCAACCTGCAGATCCGGAACGTCAACGTAGAGGTGAGGCTCCTTTTGCGGCCCGGTTCCG